TCCCTTCCTTCCGAATTGTAAGCCGCCCTGAGTCCCCCCAGGGAAAAGGGCGGCATATAAATAAACTACTCATACTCGTACTCATACTCATACTCATACCTAAATGATCCCTTAGCATGAAGTTTAATTGTTGCAAATTATTGCCATATTAATCTGAAATATTGCCAATATTGTTGCTTCATTTTCAAAGGCTGGCTTTATGCTACGAATAATAACCATTAGCAGTAGTAGTAGATCGGGTGCTCATCTACTTGAAGCAACCCTGCATTGAAACCAGGGCTCAAGAATTCATGAAATATGATTTTCTTTGATGGGATCTCAGTTGGAGGTATAATTGTTATCAGGAAGGGGGAAGTTCTTTTAATTTTCCTCTCTATAAGTTTTTCATAGATTACCTGCATAGATAACTGCTTGCATGTGGCATATCCTTGTAAAAGATAATAGAGAGGCAGAGGAGAAGACTCATGGAGGTTTATATCACTAATTATATAATAAGAAATACCGCAACGTACAATTCAGAAAAGTAGCTATAATCTTTTGTACCTGGCCATTTTTGTATTATAATGTTTAGGTTAATCAATCTAAGGAGGTTTCTTCCTCTTCCTTCTAAGACGCTGCAGCAGCTGCCCCAAAGATTATGCATTCCAGATGTGTTGTACTTTGACACCCATTGCACCTAATCACATAGACAAGTTGGAGAAAGCTGCGTTAGAATTCAATACAAAGAATATTGAAGAATGGGTGACTGACCTGTGCATTAACTAAGTTCCATAGGAAAGCTTGACAGACATTGAGGCCCTAGGGCTAAAAATCCTGAAGTTTCTTTTATGCGTGTCAGTGGTAGCTATGTACTCTGTTTTTGGATAATTTGATTTTTGATTTTTTTTACACTATTATAAGCAAGATGGATGGGTGGATAGGTGGATGGGTGGATGGATGATAGATAGATAGATAGATAGATAGATAGATAGATAGATAGATAGATAGATAGATAGATAGANCAGAGTTCCTCAGCCAGCTGGCTGAGGAACTCTGGGAGTTGAAGTCCACAAGTCTTAAAAGTTGCCAAGCTCGGAGACCACTGCATTACACAATTCCCATTCAGAAAGCCTGTACACGCCATTCCCTTATATACCTTGCAATTCTATGCCTTCCCGCGGGAGGCGCTGTACTCATCGCGCTCCCAAAGAGACGTTCTTTGAAACGAAGCCGTTGGTCTGCGCAAGCGTAAAGCCGCCGCCATCTTGAGAATGTGCTGAGGACGGGAGTCTGCGAGAGGGGCCTGTGCGGAGCGGACGGCCTTCCGCGTTGCCTCGCCTTCCTCTAGACAAAAGTATTCAAGACCAGGTTAGGTTGCGTCTATTTTTTTTTCTAAAAAACATGCGTATGTATTTTTTGCGCAATGGGGCCGCCGTGCGTTTCCGAATGTAAAACAGACCATATAACATTTAGGGAAGAACTGCGCAGGCGCGGCGCGCGCGCGCGGGCAGAACCCGCATGCGCGGAGGGAAGCGCGAGAGGGCTAACTGGCGAAGAGCATGCGCAGTAAAGCTGCTTGGTTGTGAGGGAAACGCAGCCCTTTTTTTCCCTCAGAGGTGGGAATAACGGCAGTTTGCCTCAGGCTACAATTTGCGTCGAATTGTGGTGCTGTCAAACCGCTTTTGGGTGGTTCAGCATCTCTGAAATTGGGTGGGAAGAGTCCATTTAATCCATTTTGAGGTTTAACAACCCCCGCTTGCGGCGTTAAAAGAAGAATAAGAAGGGATTTCACCACAAAGGTGCGCATCTCCTTTCGGATTGAGCGCAAGATCCGAGTTAAGCAAAGAAGGGGAATAAGGAGGGAGCATTTTCACTCGAGTAGGAAAATACTGGTTTTCCTGAGATTTCAAGGACCCCTTTCCTAGCATCTTAAAATAGCAGCTAAACTTGGGTGAGAAATGTAAAATTTATGCAAGCTCAAAACTTGAGAGAGAATTTTTATAAGACGTTTTTTATAGATGGTATTTAGACCCTTGCACCCCTAACCCTTTAGGAAAAAAAAAAACCCCAGGGGTGTTCAAAGTTGACAGCTTTAAGACTTGTGGACTTCAACTCCCAGAATTCCTCCTCTCCCTGTAAAATTTATGCAAGCTCGAAACTTGAGAGAGAATTTTTATAAGACGTTTTTATAGATGGTATTTAGATCCTAAAAATTGTATGTTATCCGAATTTACATTCCAAATGTTGGAGATGTGATTGTGTTGACGCTACCTATTATCATGTATGGTGGATTTGTAAAAAAAAGTTAAAGCATTTTGGATAAACAATATGGTGGATTATTCAAAATATTCTTAAAAAGAGGATAAAGTTTACTCCTCAGTTGTTCTTGCTAGGTATAATTACAGACTGTACAGTTATAGAGACTAATTTGATTCTGAATTTAATAACGGCAGCAAGATTGCTGGAAGAAGGAAGAATTGCCTATTATTCAAGAATGGACGTTAAAAGTAGTAAACTTAGCAGAGATGGCTAAAATCTCAGCATGTTGGAAAGATTATTCAGATGAGAAATACAAGTTGGAATGGAGAAGATGGATTGACTACATTCAAAATAAATACCGGACTAAGAAATTTCAATTAGCTTATGAATGAACAAGGAATGTTATAATTTACCTAAATTTAGCTTAATAAAAGGGGAGTTAAAGTACAAGAGGGAGGTAGGATGATATAGTTAGTTAGCTTATGTTAGTGTATGATTGTTAAATGTTTATACCCTGTATTTTGCTCTGGGAGGTTGGGGGGAGGGAGGGTTGGAGGGGGGGAGGGTTGGGGTGGAGGGAGGGAAGGGGAAATATTTGTAAAACCTATTAAAGCTTTTCAATTAAAAAAAATAGCAGCTAATAAAAACAGTGGGAAATGGGCTTGTCTGGTGGGTATATCAAAATTATTTCTGATATAAAAGTGAGTTATAAAGTGGTAGAGATATTTGTTGGCAACAGGAAAATATATGATTAATAAATAATACATATAAGAACCAGAAGGCTATGATTTCCTATATTTCCTTTTACTTGGAATTGAATGTGTGTGCATGTGAGAGAACGCACAACAATTTTCAAGCACAACTCCTGAATTTGTCCTGTGACCAGATAATTGTTTATTCCATTTGTGCAGAGGCTTGTCTCTGTACAAATACATTGGCAATCTAACGCTTGGTACTTTTACTCCATAGGTGCTGCCTACCTCAGGCTGCTTCTGCCATGGGGGATGTGAAGAATTTCCTATATGCTTGGTGTGGCAAGCGAAAAATCACCATCGCTTATGAGATCCGTGCTGTGGGCAACAAGAACAGGCAGAAATTTGTGTGTGAGGTGAGCATTGAATGACTGCCAAAAATAATTATTCACCAGCTCCCTTCACAAAGATTTTTCTAAATTTCTATTACAGAGAGAACTGCAATATATGGCTTAGCTATAAATAAAGAGAGCAAGACTTACAGAGTATATTTATTTAGATACAAGCCAGTCCAGGTTAAACCTTTACTTGATTCCTATTTCTCAGAGAGACCTAAGCATGTATTTAACTTCTTAGTTAAATTAATAATGCTAAAAATGATTTACCTACATAAATTTTGCCCTTATTTCTTAATTCAAATCCCATTGCTCCTCAAGGTTGGACCTTCAGATGGCTTGCAAAATGAAACAAAAATATCTAAAGTATAATAAAGCAACTAAAATATTTAAATGAGATACCATCTGTTACTTAGAAAAATCTAATTTAGAGGGAAGTTTTATTTTCTATATTTACGTTATGACTGGAACTTGCTGGAAAGAAAGCAGAGGTAGAGACTTGGGTCATAAGGTTTTGATTGAAAAACAATCAAAACCTGTATTGATCATGTGACTAATCCAAACAAAACTGATTATAGAGTGAATTGGGCAAGCATGCAATCACTTCAGGGTAAGAGCAACAGTACATATTGCTACTACTCTCATTTGAATTGCACTTTCCATGTCAAACAAACAATGGGAGCTGCAAATACAAATCCTGCTGTAGGATTTGCTATTTGACCAAGGTTGCTTTAAGAAGATTTGCAAAGCTATGTTAACTTTATACAACAGGCATCTATCTTGCTGAAGTTATTTAGCAATATATTTATATTTATAATAGGTTCGTGTGACAGGTTTCAACTATATTGGTATGGGCAATTCCACCAACAAGAAGGATGCTCAGACCAATGCTGCAAGAGACTTCCTTAATTATCTTGTTCGAGTGAATGAAATCAAAAGTGAAGAAATTCCAGCTTTTGGAGTAAGTGATAAGTACCACCTGCAGAATATGTGTTATATTTTATCGTGCTTATGGGTTGTTGTTGTTTTTTTTGCACACTATTTTGTTGTCTGGGGAAGAGAAGCAGTATTTTTTATTAATAACATTACTTGAAACTTTTTTTCAAAATTTGTTTTAAGAGAAACCATATTTGGAAGTCACAATTTTTCCCTTTTTGCATCAGTCTATAGAACTTGCTTTATATCCTTCATTTCAGATTCTGAATATTTTGATTTATACAAAATTTATTTTGAAAAGGAAAAGAGAAGACACCATTGGGAGGGAGGGAGGCATTTATTCAGAAATGTTTTTGTCCAAAATTCTGTGGAATTTATTCATTATATGTGCATTCAGGATTAGAGGGCGAGATTTCTTAAAGCACGTTTTAAACATTTAAAAATGTCAACCTTTTAAAACTCAAGTTAAAGGGTACATTCTATCTTGGGGGGGGGGGCAATATATTTGTAACACAGTCATGCAGAGAAATGCAGTTATATATGCACCTTTGTTTTGTAGCAGTAAACCTGACTGTTATATAGTAATTCTACTTGAGGTGCATCTGGCTTGAAAATATACTCTTAGTAGAGTACGAGTTGCAATTTTACAGATTTTTTTATTATGCTTAGACGGGAGCAGTGGGTGGTCCTACTGAAGGTGCCTCTGGAGCAGATATTGGAGATGGACCTGATGCTCCTTTGGGAGGGCCTATTCCCCCTCATTTGGCTCTCAAATCAGAAATTGGTAAGTCAGTCAACCTCTGCATGCTCAATACATTGTATATTACCAAACAAATTAAAACCGTGCTTATTAGGCAATGGAAGTTCAGTCCCATCTGACAATGATCCAACATAATTAACTGACTTACTTGATTTTTTTTTATTCTTAATCTGGATTCACCTCAGAATTCCTGACAAAATATTTTTCAGTATTTGTAAAACCTGTGTTTTTCTTCAATAATAACCTGTCAAATATTCTGCGTTTTTTGTTTTTGTTTATTAAATTTATTCACTATCCATTTCATTGTCACAACTCTGAGCATCTTATAATACATAAAACTTGTATAAAAGATTAAAACAGTGAGACAAATAGTTTAAAATTAACAAGAACTGTTGATGGTTTTAGTTTAATTTTATATTATGTTTCTATGGTTAATTCATTTCATTTTTAAGTTGTTTATACCCTGCTTTACATCTCTCAAAATATCAGGAAGTATGGTAAACAAAATTTGTAGAAAAAGCCCCCCAATTTTTTTTCATTTTTTTCCTAATCTAAATTCCTAAAATATCTGTTCTTGGAATTAGGAAAAAGCTAGAATTTAAAATTAGAAAATAATCAAAATAAACATCTATTTATACTTAGCATTTATTCTTTCACACTTAAAGCAAGTAATTTCAAAAGTTGGACTTTAATTACATTGGAAATTGAGGCGATGAACCCTCTTTTTCCTTTCCCCAGACCTAAGCTACAATTCCTGTTTGTTCTTGTTTATTAGGAGTCATTAAGATAAACAAAGATTTTTGAGTAATCACTGTCCCCACATCTGTTTTGAATTTGATGTTATAATCAATCTTGAAAGCTGTTCAGAAAGTGAATGTACATTGCTCTGTTCACTGATAAGGGTGTGTATTGTCAGTTTCAAATGAAGCTTATTCGGGCAGGACAGAGGCAGTATTTGTGAGGTTCAGACATTTATATTAAAACTATCTACATCACAGATGTTAATACTTTTAGTAACCATGCTTTTTTCTCCTCCCATTGCTAGATGCTGGTACTACTTTTACTGAAACAGGAGTTGGAAATTCTGGCTATGGTGGAGCTCAGTGGGATCGTGGTGCTAACTTGAATGATTATTACTCCCGGAAGGAAGAACAGGAGGTCCAGGCTGTAAGGTTTTTTTTCTTGAAAACTTATTAACCAAGCTCATTTTTCATTATAAATATTTGTTTGTCAACAGAGCTATCATTTTCTTGTTTAAGTAAAACAAGATAATGATGCAAGACTAAAATACTTTAGCACAGATATAATCCTATAGCACAGTGATGTTGAACCTATGGCACGTGTGTCACAGGTGGCTTGCAGAGTTCTCTCTGCGTGCACGTGAGCTGTCGCCCCAGCTCAGTTCTATTGCGCATGTGAGTGTGCCTCCCACTAGCCAGCTGATTTTCGGGTCTCTTGTGCATGCAGGAGACGTGCTTTAGCCAACATTAGATTAGCCATCACTGCTATAGTATATATAATGCTATATATAATCATGTTAACATTTTGACAGTTTTACTTTGATTAACAGATAGTACAAATGTTTAGTTATTCCTTTGCTAACTAAATCTGTAATAATGTATCTGAATTATAATACAATTATGCTGTACGTTCTAGGAAATAAGATTCCAAAGGTTCCTATTGTTATCTGTTCAGAGTTCTCCAAGTAAGAGTTTTTGGAGCACTAAATCTTACATTTTGTGGGAATAATCCACTTGGTTATCAGGGAATATAATTAAGTGTTAAAAGATATTTTTTTTTTACAGTAGCATGTAATCAAATTAAGAGTAGTGTTCATAGCAATTTAAAGTTAATTGTTCCTTGCTACTAGACTTTGGAGTCAGAAGAAATTGATTTAAATGCTGGCCTTCATGGAAATTGGACTTTGGAGAATGCTAAAGCCCGTCTGAATCAGTTTTTCCAAAAGGAAAAAATCCAAGGCGAATATAAATACACTCAAGTGGGACCTGATCACAACAGGTTTGGCAGCTTTTTTTTCATAAGGCTGATGTTATTGAAAAACATTTTCCTTGTTAATAGCTGGTTGTGTGCTCTTCATCTCTAAATAGAGATACCTTAATGGATTAGCAAAGTATTAAGCAAGGGCTGTTCCATTTAAATGGCCTAAATAATGTAACCAATGTTTATTATTTTTTGCCCTCTTTCCTTGAATTTGTAAATAGTTTTCAGTCATTTTGTAGTAAAATTTAAAGAATGTTCTTAGTTCTGTCTCACAATTTATATAATAGTCATACAGCATCTTATTAAATTTGAAAAGCAGAAAATCCTGGGAACAATATTTGCTAATGTGTTGATGTGTGAAAAAAATCAGTACCATGCCTGTTCTTAAAATCTAAATTACAATTTGAACAAAAACTCATGGAGACTATTACTGGACTCTTAAAGGAATAGGGAAGATAAAAATTGTTACGTGTAGAAAGCTAGTGTATGCACACCAAAAAAGTTTGAATTTGCATTTGTTTCACATGCCTGATGTTTATTTTAATCCCATTTGTTTGGAGATGCAGTACCTTCATGTAATCCCAGAAGAGGTTTATAATATAAAGTGGCTTGCCAGTCAAGCCTTGATTTTTGCAGTGTATTTGACATTTAATTGCTATTGCAAAGTTCCTTACAATATTAAACAAAGCTGTAGTAGTAAATATATTATTGACTAAATATATAATAGGCTGATAAAGAAATAATTTTCTCTCCTCTGTCTCTGCCTTCAGTTGTCTTCCTGTTCCTACCTGTCCTTCAAACATCCAAAATTAACCAAAGTGAAGCTATTCACCTTCTAATAACTTCATAAATTAGTCTTCGTTTTGTTGGTATCTCAATTGTATTTTTTGCATGAACATTACTCTAAAGAAATCTAGTTAAACATTTGCTTTTACATGATATATACTTTCTAAAATGAAATATACAGCTCTCTGAATACTGAACAAGAAAATAGCTGTATATAGCTTTGGATTCAATATTCAAAAAGGAAAAGAAATAAGGGGAAAAGCTACCAAGGCTTCTAATGCCTTCCTAGTTTGACTCCAACAAATAATAGATGATGCCTGATGTAGTTTGATACATAAATTCAGAGGTTTGATTCAATTTCTGATTTGAAATACTTCATGTCATTTCCCTTTCAGCTTCCATAAAAGATAGTTCTTTGTGCAATTGTTGTATACTATCAGGATTATCATATTCATAAATTACCATTTTAGACTTTTTCCTCTATAGCTCTTGAAGTTGTGCTGCTATGTTCTTTTTTCCAAGTACAAGCTTTATTTAACATTTACTTGGTGAAGATGGAGGCATGGATGACAGTATGTTTCTCGGTCTGTTTGCTGTTTTCCCAAGAGCATTCCAGGGTGTAGAATTTGTTACTCCCAGGAAGGCTTGGATGGATTTCTTGCATCTCTAAAGAAGAAAATTATGTTAAAAACATCTAAATAAATAAACACACTATGTTTAGGCATAAATTGGCATAGTTTTAAAAAGAAGAATAATGAATGTACTGTCAGTTATATCAAACCTATGTAATTTTGTCTGGGATAAAAAAACTCTTAGAAGACAAATCCCCATGGAATTGCAGTGTTTAATGTGTCCTGCCAAGTACTGTATCGTTCCCCCCCCCCCCAATTGTCTTTTAAACCTAATGATGTGAGCTTTTTAAAATAAGCAAACAGAGAATTTTTTCCCAAAACACTCAGTGTCTTTCCTAGTAGCTGACAGTAGTTGAAATGGGTTCATCTAGATATGGGGGAAAGTGAAGTGGGTGGTACATTGAAATGATACATTTAAACAAATAAATTTCTTAATTTGGAGATTAGAATGTTTATATTTAAACATTCAGATATAAGAATTCAGTAGCACTGAACCTTTTTAGCTTCAGAACTTAACATTGAAGCTACAAAATTGGCACATATGCTTAGGATTAAATTCCACTAAACACACCCAAGCTTTATTTTGTTGCTTTTTGATCTAGATTTGATACAACCTTCTTAAGCTTTGGGTCTCTTATGCTTCTTTTTATTTCTTCTGCTCTTTCAGGTGCCAGAGATTATAGTCTTCTGTTTCCCATTTAACTAGAAATCTCTGTTATACCCAGAATCAAAGTCTGTTTACCTTAAATTGGTGGCTTTGTGATTCTAAAAAAACAAAATGAATCATTTTTGGGCAGTCCTGTTTTTTTCCCATCAATCACAATTCAAACTGACAGAAATTCACATTAATGAATAACTGGTTAATTGAAAACTGGTAGTTAGTACTTTGAATTTCTTCCTGTATGTATGAGGTGGTAGGAAGAGCATATATGCTCAAGGCTCCAGTAGGTTGGTTGTGCAATAAATATTTAAAATTTTTATTAGTATTGTATTAGTTATTAAGTTACTAATTAGTTTATTTCGTGAAATATGGAGAATTGTTTTGTAGAAATACAATCATGGAGATTTTCCTGTTCCACATAATGGAACAGAATAGGTACTTAATTACATACATAATTATGTTGGTGAATGTGTAAATTCTGTGATTGGAAGCTACTATAAAGCCTTTTTTTTTAAAAACCTAAACACATTGCCCTGTTGCACAAAATCAATTTTCCATCAGGAAAAGGACTTCAATAGTAATTCAGTATAAGTTCTGTGCTGAATGGGGGGGCAACTGCGACACCAGAGATTTTTGCTTGTTCACACATGTGCTGCTGCTTAGGCTGTACTAAGCAATCACATGGGACTCTATTGTAAACTAATTTCTGGTGTCGTTGTTCCCCCCCCCCAGGTGGAGGAAACGAATTGAGTGCTGAATTTAAGCCTGGCTGAGAAACATACTGACATCGGTGTCATTAATGAAAGGGTGGCTGTTTGTCCCTGAGAGCCAGTGGTCTTCTGATTCATGAAGCCGCTGTGCCTGAAGGTCAGTTCACTGGTGGCTTAGGAAGGAGCTAAGAATAAACTTAGTATCATCTAGTTTGATTTTTTTTTATCTGCAGTGAAATAACTAATATATCTGGGCAAAGCTTTACATATAACTTACTTTTCCTACAGTATTTTATCTTTAAAAATAATCTGTGGAGATTGTCTCTGCAAGATTTTAAATCCAGTAATCTTTGCAAAATCTGGCTAAATTCATATCACTTTCCAGAAGAAATGCTCAGAATGATCAGTCTAGCTCCTGTTATATTGAATATCTGATCTCAAACTTCTTTAGCAGTCCTAGAATGTTTAAAATTAATGTAATTCCTTAGAATAACCAATAGCCTGTTTGTATGCATATTTACATAGCTAGAGATATCTGTTGAGTAAATGCTGAGCAAATGATTTAAAAAGCATATGCTGTAAATACTGGGTGCCAGAATGCACCCAAAATGTCCGTTCAGTTTATCTATGGATGGGCTTATGAATGAGTTTATACAGTAATGCTTTTTAAAAGTATGCATTTGATTAATTGATTGGCTTGATTTGATTTCCATGGTCGTCTATCTCAACAAATGGCACTGGGTAGCATAAATATTAAAACAGATTTTGACCAAATTTAAAACAATACAAAAATATATGGCACCAAGTAGAACTATAACTACACATGTTAATACAATCAAGAAATGGGGCCCGTAACAGACTTGAGGCCCCAGGCCTGGGCACACAGCCAAGACTTCATGACCTTACAAAAGGCCAGTCAGGTCTGGGTCTTCCTGCTCTCTGAAGGGAGAAAGTTTCAGAGGGCAGGGGCTATGGTGGAGAAGGCATGTCTCCTGCTCCCTGACAACTTGTATTCATTGGCTGATGAGACCCATAACATACCCAATCTGCCAGAAATGACTGGAAGACGACAGTCCCTTAGGTCAGTGGTCTCCAACCTTGGCAACTTTAAGACTTGTGGACTTCAACTCCCAGAGTTGAACTCTGGGAGTTGAAGTCCACAGGTCTTAAAGTTGCCAAGGTTGGAGACCACTGCCTTAGGTAACCTGCCACGAAGCCATTACACCCAGAAGCATATTGGTGTTACATGTGTTGAATATTTGACACCATATAATACCTGTGCAGGGACACGGTGGCTCAGTGGCTAAGACGCTGAGCTTGCCAATCAGAAGGTCGGCAGTTCAATGGTTCGAATCCCTAGCACTGCGTAACGGGGTGAGCTCCCGTTACTTGTCCCAGCTGCTGCCAACTTAGCAGTTTGAAAGCAAGTAGAAAAATAGGGACCACTTTGGTGGGAAGGTAACAGAGCTCCGTGCGCCTTTGGCATTAAGTCATGCCAGCCGCATGACCACGGAGATGTCTTCAGACAGCGCTGGGTCTTCGGCTTAGAAATGAAGATGAGCACTGCCCGTAGAGCTGGAAATGACTAGCACGCATGTGTGGGGGAACCTTTACTTTACTACCTGTGCAGTTGCATTCTGCATTATTTGAAGCCTCTGAATGCTTTTCAAGAGCAGCCCAATGTAGAACTCATTGCAACAATCCAGATGAGAGGTCGCGAGGGCATGAGTGTGAGCAAAGATTCCCAATCCAGGAATGAGGGCAACTGGCGCACAATTCTAAAATGTGCAAAGGCCCTCCTGGCCATTGCTACCTCCTGATATTATCGTAAGAGCTGGGAGTACAAGAGGACCCCCAGATTATGCACCAGGTCCATCTGGGGCAGTGCCACCCTCTCCAGGACTATCTGTATATCCCATATATAGTCATGGCTAAGCCCATTTGTGGCTGAATAAACCTTTGAATGTTTAACCAACATACCATGAAAAATGTGCTACCCAAAGTTAAGCCATTTATGAAAATTAAAACATTACACAAATTTCAAGGGTTGATTCATCTAGAGCTGGCTGATTTTTATGGTATTTTGGTTAAACAATTGGAAATCAGATTATCTGTTTGAACATTAATGCATGTTCAAAATAAGCATATTAGAACCTTGTTCACTAAAACATTTAGGTAAATTATCAAAGTATAAATTTATTTTACCAAATAAGAGTATTCCTAACTGATCAGATCCTAAAACAGACTGAAATAATTACAGCAAGTTATTTGTTTTAATTGTTTTATTGGAGGCAAGTCCCAAAGTTGAGCATATATTCCTTGGATATCTTGTTAATGATGTATAGTCTTTATAGAAAGAAAGGTATGTATCTTGCCAGCCTAATGATAAATTGGCTCCCCTAAGGCAGAGCCAAGCAAAATTCTAGTCAACCATTTGTAATGTGACCTGGGCCTTTAGTGACTTACTGGGTTTTTTTGTTTGCAGAAAGGATCCAATAAATTTCAATCCAAAATAGAATTTTATTTTGCATGAAATCTTTAATCCTACTTACATATTCATTTGAGAGTTTCATGTTTCATCTCTTAAACTTTATCATCGCTCCCAAGAAATACAGTTTACAGATTCTAAATTCTTTCAGCATTACATTAACCCCTAAGGCATGATGGGAATTGTACATGTTTGGAAAAACTACTACCGTGTTTCCCCGAAAATATAACATGTCCTGATAATAACGCCATGCCACATTTTTTGGGGTGAGCAAAAATGTAAGCCCAGCCCTGAAAATAAGCCCCTTGGACAACCCCCCCCCCCTCCAGCCAGGGAGAGCACCACTCACCGACCTAGCGGTATCCTGAAGGCACCAAGCTGCAGAAACGGGGGGGAGGCTCGGGTTGCTTGGTGCCTTCGAGATATTGCTAGGTTGATGAGTGGTGCTATGTCCAGCTGGAGAGGGGTGTTGACGGGCGGCTGCTCTCTTGTGAGCGGGCTCCCGAAGAGCCGGGCTTAGCCTCAGGGTCGAACGGCTGTGTTGCGCTGTTGCAGCAGCTGAGCAGCTGCCTGGCAAACCCCCTCTCCAGCCAGGCACAGCGCTATTCACTGACCTAGGGGTATCACCAAACCGCATGAGCGGTTGTTCGCCGCCCTCCGGCTCCCGCAGCTTGGCACCTTCAGAATGCCCCTAGGTCAGTGAATGGGGCTCTGCATGGCTAGAAAGGGGGGTTGCGCGAGCGGCTTTTCCGCTTCCCACTTGTACGCCTCTCAGCCTCCCAGTGCTGTTGCCTAACTCTTCCTGCAGAGCCAGGGCACCTCCGCTGCCGTCTCCACATGGCTTTTTCTGCGGCTTCCAAAGCATAGAGGTAGGATGTTGAATCTTCCAGAAGTTGCCCCTCTAGGAATATGCTCTGGCTGTACGCTCTGGGAGTACGCTCTGCCAGCAGCCAGCCCACAACCATAGAGTGTACTCCCAGAGCG